AGGATGTGCTGGGACGCCTGAAGGAAATGGACAACACAGCCCACAAGCTAGAAGAAGAACACGGCTCAAATTCCGCCGTCACACGTATCGCCAGAACCCAGTATGCTTGCCTCAGCAATGGCTTCCGCGATGCCATGTTTGACTATAATGAGGCCGAGATGAGCCATAGGGAGAACTGTAAAGCCCAGATCCAGAGGCAGATGGAGATAGTGGGACGTGAGGTGTCAGGAGAGGAGGTGGAGGAGATGATCGAGAAGGGTCAGTGGAACATCTTTACTGACAACGTCATGGCTGAGGGTAAAACGGCTCGATCTGCTCTGTCCCAGATTGAGAAACGCCACCAAGAGTTGCTGGACCTTGAGAGCCGTATCCAGGGCATCCATGAGATTTTCCTGGACATTGCTATGCTGGTGGAGGAGCAAGGCCCCATGCTGACCACCATCCAAACCAATGTTCAGAAAACTGATGAAGGCATACAGGAGGCCCTCGTCAAACTGGGCAGGGCCAAACGTCATGACAAGAACAACCCCTTTAGAAAGATGTTTTGCAGCTGTTTCCCATGTGTCGACTAATGACTGAACAGGACAGAAATGGGCAGAGGGATGGCAAAATATGCAAAGAGAAGTGGAAAATCTAATGACATGAAATAATTTCTGTATGTTTCATTGGCACACTTGCCTTACTGACCTGTAGAGCTGTAGATATAAAAAACAGGAAGTGAAATAAAGGTTTTATGTGTATAGAGACAATAATGCTCAGATAAAATATTAAAAAATGTATTTCGGTAATTCATTGATGTCTGTAATGTTTGTATGAGAGGCTTGAGGCAGGTATCTCAAATCAGAATCCAGCCCCCCCATGACTGAGGTGTGGGGCAGACCTGAAACAAATAGTACCTGAAATTATTGTTCATGTTTTTATAGCCTGATGAGTTTTTACCAAATCATGCAACTCAAAGATTGATGATGATGACTTTTGCAGATCAATTCAAAGATGGGATACATGTTTGTGCGGGTCATGCTACCCAAAACAATGATTCCTGATGCAGTAAATTATCTATTATTATTATTAAGTAGTCAAGCCGAAAGAAATGTTATGATATGCACCTAAAACATGTTCAAGTGTCTGTAAAAACAGATATCCTAGATGTATGGCTGAAAGGAATTGTTTTAAAAATTGTACAGTTTATGGGGTTGATTCAACTGTAAATATCCTCTGCCTTACTATATATATAAATTATGAAATGCTTGTGTTGATAGTAACCAGTCATACCGTATTCACACTGTCAAAATCCGCTATTATTCCTCATATTTACCATCTCTTTGAGGACACAATAAGTGAGGAGCGGCCGCAGTTTTACTATATGTTTTACTAGATTCTAAATGTTATGCAGGGGTGTCAAGGATCACACTTTTGATGTACTGTGATGTACCCCTATCTACTACTTTTCACTGCTACTTGTCTGACTATATGTATGATAATACCTTTCTTCTATTGTGTCATGTATATTACATAAATAGTTATATTAAAAATTGGTGTGAGTCTGGCTTTATTTCTGTTTGAACATAGGTTCTGGGGGTTCTCCCACAGAAAGAAAAGTGATTTGAATACCTTTTTTCAGGCATTGTTACATACATTTAGGGACTACAGTAACCACAACAAGATTTAGGAAATAATTCAGTTGGTCATGTTAGATTCTGCCAGTGTAGTACTAAATATGCTAATTATACAACACCTCTGTGGCATTTTTTTGGAGTACATCAGAGCAAAATCAACAGCTCAATTCACATTCTCAGCCACAACATTATATTGTATTTTATTTTTCTTTTTTTATGTTACTTCATCCCCTATCATATTGACTTTTTTTTAATATGCTGTTACTCTCTATCTTTAATTGTAAGGTGACCTTGAGTGTCTTGAAAGATGCCTATAAATAAAATCTATTATTATTATAATTATAAGTAGCGTATCAAGCATGATTTACAAAGGACATCTCCTCCCCATCCTCAGTGGAAATTACACCTCAGAGAATGACACGGTTCATAGCTGCTTTTAAAATGCATTCCACTACAGATTAATGAATACATGTCGTAAAATGTAATATGTAATGCATTTCATTAGATTATTCAAACTAAGTAACATATTCTAAATAGTTCAGATTACTTTTGGTATACTTTGAAATTGTCTTGTTGGACTCATTTGGGTCTTATATTTTCATGCCTTAAACATATATCAGTATCTTGGCTGTGGATCTGCTCTGACATTATCATGTGGCAGCTGCACTGCACACCCTCATTTAAAAGCCGTTTATGGGAAATATGTGTCTCATATGACTTTTACACAGTGTCCTAACAGCAAGCGAATGTGGCACACTGAATCTGTCAACTTAATTTCACCTCAAATGCCTATCCAAGGCATACCGAAAGTCAAAATGAATGCTGTTCTCCTTTCCATTGTAGTATATGTACATGTATGGTCTCATTTGAAAGAACACAAGTTGATTTAAGCAACAGTCAGAATGACTGTAAGTGCTTATGTCATTAGGTTTCAACACACTGAAATACAAGTTTTTTTTATGTTCACCTGAAAATTCTGTTATAAAAGATGCTGCAGATGACCAGAACTGCGAGGTATTAGCTGAAAAACACAATGGGGCCTTGCTTGCGTCACGTTTGGTTGGGACATGGTGCTAGAGGAAATACAACAAATAAAGTAATCCCTTCATTTTGTATTCTTAAGACGCAACTTAGTTACTTGTACTCTATTACTCCCAAACCCTGTGTGTAATCCCTGGCATGCTCCATGTTCTCTGTCCAGTCTTGGGCCTTATGTATCATCCAGAGTCCCCTCAGCTCAGCAGCACCCCAGACACACACACACACACACACACAGGTGTACTCACTTCACAAATTAGTCCAGTGATGCCATGTCAAACATTTCAGTCTAGCTTTCTCACAGACACTTGTCCTGGATGCATTGTATCACAGGAATGCTGTCTCTCAACTGACCCTGCTTCCTGAAATGGAAAGAACCACACACACACACACACACACACACACACAAAAATGCATCTTCCTTCAAGGAAGTATTGAGTGTTGCAGTGGGAAGGCCCATGTCTGTCACCTGGGAAGGGGTGGCAGTCACACACACACACACACAC